ACTTTGGGAGGCCAAGGCGGGCGGATCACAAGGTCAAGAGATGGAGACCATCCTGGCCAACATGGTGAAACCCCATCTCTACTAAAAATACAAAAATTAGCCAGGTATGGTGGCGGGTACCTGTAATCCCAGCTACTCAGGAGGCTGAGGCAGGAGAATCGCTTGAACCCAGGAGGCGGAGGTTGGAGTGAGCCAAGATCACACTACGGCACTCCAGCCTGGAGACACAGTGAGGCTCCATTTCAAAAAAAAAGATTTATTTTAGTTTAGATACCATTTTTATGCAGAGAACACTAGCTAATCAAATCATGCAGAAGAAAAAACACAATCACCACACAAACATATGGAAATGTACTAGGTATTCTAAAAAAAACACCAAAAACTGGAGTGAAGAGGTTGAAAGGAACTTGGATAAACCAAAGCACACACTATATGTTCTGGAATGCAAAGACATGGTATTGTTTAGATGTTTTAATTCTCCCTCAAAGTAATCTACAAATTTAATATGATGCCAACTCAAATCTCAAATCTATTCCTTCTAAGTCTTGACAAAAGAAAATCAGTGTATCTAGAAGATTAAACATTTAAAACCAGACAAGAACATTTTAAAGAAACAGATTAAAAGTCTGGGATGGGGTTGGGGACAGAACTTGTCCTACCAGTTATAAAAACCGATTATAAAGTCAAGGTATTTTAAGTGGTGTTGTTCTGGAATGTTAATAAACAGACATATGAACGTTGAATGAATATGAATTAAAAGTCCAGAAATAGACAAACTGGCATTACTATCTGTGTGCACATGTGTGCATGCAATGGTAACATTGGTAGAGTTACCATAACCAAGAAGTTACTGAGGTTGCATAATCTTAGAAAGAAGAAAATCTTTTTAAGCCTGGTGCTAAAATAAGATTACAAAGAGAAACACTGGTAAATTTGAATATATAAAAATTAAACAGTTTTCTATTTTTTTGACAAAAATTAAAAGACAACAATGCAGGGAATATATTTGCCCAATATAAATCAAAGGATTCAAAACCATAATATATAAAGAACACTTATAAATCATTAAGATAAATATTTAAATCTAAAACTGGGTACAGAATACATACAGACAAAACACAGAATAAGATAAAATATAAATGGTGGGCTGGACATGGCGGCTCATGCCTGTAATCCCAGCACTTTGGGAGGCCGAGATGGGCGGATCATGAGGCTCAGGAGATGGAGACCATCCTGGCCAACATGGTGAAACCCTGTCTCTACTAAAAATACAAAAATTAGCCAGGCGTGGTGGCGGGTGCCTGTAGTCCCAGCACTCAGGAGGCTGAGGCGGGAGAATCGCTTGAACCCAGGAGGTGGAGGTTGCAGTCAGTCACGATCTTGCCACTGCACTCCAGCCTGGCAACAGAACAAGACTCCATCTGTCTCTCTCTTTATATATATGTAGATAGATAGATAGATGGTGCATAAACATAAATTTTGTGACATAATTACCTACATGTATAAATATATATAAGCTTATATGCAATTACAAATGAATAAAAAGTTTAATCTTATTAGTATTCAAAGAAATTCAAATTAAACAATAAAGTCATCTTATATCTTTCAAATTGGCATGGATTAAAAAGAATAACAACTTTCAGTGCTGGCAAAGGTGTAGGAAAAAGAGCATTCTCATATATTGGGAGTATAAATGGATAGACTTTCCTAAAAGGCAGTATGTCAATACGTATCAAATACTCTAAAGATACATTTATTTTTATCATGTATGTCTACTTTTAGGAGCTGTAAAAAGAATTAATTTGTATAAGAATGATGGCCATCTTCCTAATTGCAAAAAGCAAAGATTTGGTTAAATAAACAATGTTATATTCATATATAGAGAGTAGTCACTACCAATAAAGTTGTAGAATATTTTAAAACATGCTGAGCACAGTGACTCATGCCTGTAATCCCAGCAATTTGGGAGGCAAGGCAGGCAGATCACCTGAGGTCAGGAGTTTGAGACCAGCCTGGCCAACATAGTGAAACCCCATCTCTACTAAAAATACAAAAGTTGGCTGGGCGCGGTGGCATGTGCCTATAGGCCCAGTACTTGGGAGGCTGAGGCAAAAGAATTGCTTGAACCTGGGAGGCAGAGGTTGCAGTGAGCTGAGATTGTGTCACTGCACTCCAGTCTGGGCAACAGAACGAGATTCTGTCTCGCACAATAAACAAATAAAACATGGAACAATGTGATCAGTCAAAAAATAAATCACAGGCAGGATGAAGAGAATAGTACATTTTAAATACACTAAATATATATGTACACATACGCGTACACATATACATCCATATACACACACATTATGTACAGAAAAGACTGGAAGGACATAATCACCTGGGTGGTAGGATTATGAAGAGTTTTGTTTTTTGAATTTCTATAGTAACTGTATAATTTTTATAATATGAAAGGCGTATACTTTTTATGTGTTGCATAGGTTTTGCCTCATTTAATATTCTGTGAAGAACTCAGGGTAGGTCATATTCACACTCCACAGCTGTTATTAGTCTGTTCTCACATTGCTAGAATAAAATACCTGAGACTGGGTAATTTATAAAGATGTTTAATTGGCTCATGGTTCCACAGGTTGTACAGGAAGCATGATGCCAGTATCTGCTCGACTTCTCAGGAGGTTTCAGGAAACTTGCAGTCATAGTGGAAAGCGAAGGGGCAGCCAGAAAGTCACGTGGCCACAGCAGGAGCAAGAGAGATAGCAAGGAAGGGAGGTGCCACACTCTTTTAAACAACCAGTTCTCCTGAGAACTCACGCCCTCACTACCATGAGAACAGCACCGGGAGGCTGGCGCTGACCAATCCTGAGAATCTGCCCCCGTGATCCAATCCCCTCCCAGCAGTCTCCACCTCCAACACCTGGGGATTACAACCGAACATGAGGTTTGGGCGGGGACGCAGATCCAAACCATATCAACGGGAAAGGGAAGCAAAGAAGGGAGAGAGGGTGACTTGTGCTAAGTCACATAACCGGGAGGTGGAAAAGCCACGGCACTGATCCTGGATTGCTGACTCCAAACCCAGTACTGCGTATGCTGCAAGCATCAAGCAAGTGAACACACTGGTTTGTAGCTCTGAGATTTCCGGCCTTGTATGAGCCAGGGCAGAGAGATACCTAGGATCGGGCTCTGAAGTAAGGTAAATATTGATGATCTACCTTGCCACGGGGTGCCGTCAACCAAACAGATGCATGTGAGAGGACACATCTGTGGTATATGATGTTCTTTTTATGTATCTCTGGAGGTATAGAAGGCGGTAAGAAATAGAGGAGACCAAATCTCCCTTTCCTATCCTTCCATGCAATGTGTGATGTGGGAAAACGGGGTCTGAGATTAAAACCAGGAGGGGTCATTCCTTCAATCCCGGCACTGTGTGGGCTTTCTTTTTGGTGTGGATCTCCAGGAACTGTGGTCTCCCTTCACCCAGTCACTCTGTATCCCCCACACAGGGCCCTGCATCAGAAAATGAGGGTCCCAGAAAAAAAATGGCCAGTTTCTTGTAGATCACCAGATTTTGCTACACTCATGGCACATAGTATTTAGGAATAAGGAGGCTGGCCAAATTATGTATACAAGATGGGGAATCACCCTTTCCGATGGAGACAGGGTTCCAGGTTGTGCCAATTCTCAAACATAAGGAGGCCTACAGCATACCGAGAATAATTCTGTGCACAGCATGTGGGGATGAAATCTGATCAATGTTCTCTAGGCCACATTCAATAGACAATAACAAGATGAAGCTCTAACAGTGCATTTTTATAACTCAGTGGGTGCTTCAGCATTGAAACTGTGCCAACTGACACTGGTCCTGCTGGCCTTTGCAGATAAGAATGCAGAGAGCAGCAGGATTCCCAGCGGCTGCCTCTGTGAACATGATCCCAAGCCAAGCAGGCATGGTCCCACAGCAGAAAAGCTTCTGGTAATTCAGCAATCGCTTCTCAGAATCATAGCACAGGTAGAGCAGGTAGAGGGCAACTGTGCAGGGACATGTCTCTGAGAGGTAGCCTGCCACTGCTTCCAAGACAAAGAAACAAAGGCCCACATCCCCAGACCCAGCAGGCACAGCCCTATCAAGAGTTTAACTACATTCATACCGGAATGCAACCATACACACTGCAATTGCTGTCACAGCCAGATGTACATACTACAGTACCATGAGCTAAGTTACCTTGAAATGATGGTTCTAGCCAACAAACAATTGGTTGATCTTCTACAACAAGCTCATCCAACCCACCAGGCTGCATGCAGCCCAGGACGGTTTTGAATGTGGCCCAAAACATATTCATAAATTTTCTTAAAACATTATGAGATGCTTTTTTGGAACTTTTTGGGTTTTTTTGGCTCATCAGCTATTGCTAGTGTTAGTGTATTTTATGTGTGGCCCAAGGTAATTCTTCTTCTACTGTGGCCAGGGAAGCTGAAAGACTGAATACCTCTGTTCTGCACTTGTACACAGTACACTGTTTATAATCTTCCTACATTTTAAAGAAAATTCTTTTTAACTGAAAAATGAGAACTGTATTGTTTTGAAATATTGGTCATCCAGCATAACATGTAACTCGGCACTTAAAATTGACTTGCAAATTGATTTTTAAAAATTCAATATAAATAAGAATCAATGCAACAAATGCTAAAATATAATAGTCACTAAGGATATTTATTCCAAAATAGCACTACATTGTGATCCTTCAAAATATACTATTAGTAGCTGATTTACAAGTAGAACGAGTTTTAATTGTTCTACTTATGTATCAGTAAGCTAATTGTTAGCTAATTTCTAGAAATAAATCAGCTTACCCTAAATACCTTAAACAACCAGAAAACATTAGAATGAATTGAAAGTGTACATGAGAACCTAACAATACAATAAAATTATTTTAGAAATTGCTCTCGTGCAAAATCAAATCCTATGACCTTTATGAAAGAGTCTGCATTTCGTTACTTACCAACTGGCAGCCTTCTAGAGAGCTGACTAGCTGAGCATTCTGACAAGAGAGAATTGAACCAGCCAAATTCAGCATCACACACACTGCAGAAAGCAGCATGAAAAAGGTTATCTGGAAACAAACCAAACAGAAAACTGATTATTCACTTGGAGAGGCTCAGAGGAAAAACTACTCAGCTTTACAATGAGTTTACAGCTTTCGTTTATTATACAACAGTGGGTCACATAATTACATGAATAACATACATGTGTTTTGAAGCAAAGTGCTAGGTTATTTCTCAAACTTCCAAATTAACATGATCTGAAATAGAAAAAGTAACATCTGTAGGAAGCCATGGCAAGCTGCTATGACTTTGTTTGAAACCTATTATGATAAAATATTTAAGGAGTTAAACTTGAACAATTGTACATTATATACCCTTAACAGTAACAAGTTGTACACTATTAAAGGAAATTAAGTGAAAGAAGTCTATTTATTAGAAGGCCTCTAGGTTTTAATTTTTATTACAGAAAATTCATACACATGCAAAACCAAAGAAAACAGTATAATGTGCCCATCATCCAATGTCAGTAATCAATCCACTTACAACCGTGTTTCATTGACAGCCCCTACCATCCAGGTTGTTGTGCAGCTAATATCAGACATCATATAATTTTACCCTTAAAAATGTTTAAAGGAATTGAGAAGCTTTCTGAAAACAGCCAAAATAGTCATCACATCTATAATAAATAAAAATTCATTAATATCATGAGATACTTAGTTCACATTTCTCCAACTGTCTCAATTTTTTCACACTTTGAATCAGGCCACACAGGACACAAATAGGGTCCATGTGGCACAACTGGCTGTCAGGAATCTTAGGTAGTCTGTGCATTTCCCATCATGTTTCCCTCCACGAAATTTCTTGAAGAAATCAGTTCTTCGTCCTACAGAGTTTCCTATAGCCTAAACTTTCTGATTGTAGCCTATCATTTAACGTTTCTCTAGCCTCTGTATTTCCTGTAATTTGGTGATTAAATACAGAGGTCTGACCAAATTCAGATCAATAAAAGGCAAATATTTCTCTTTTTGTGATGCTGGTGGCCATTTTTAATGACGATTTAGACTCATTAATTTATTGGGATTTCCAAACAGTGCTAGTCTTATTCTGTCATTTTTTTCTTTATGAATAAGAATACATATAGAGACAGAGACTGGTGCTATTTTTCATTCCCACTAACAATGTATGAGAATGATAAGATCTTACTTTTACTGTTAATGCCTTAAAAATGTTTTGGCTAAATTAAATTTAGGAAAAAACTGATATTACCATTCTCTACCATAACTATAATATCTACACCCCAGATGTAAATTTATTTTCCTTAAAAATATATATGGAAGACACAATTCAAAAGAGGATATTTTGTTCATTTAGGAAATATTTCAAGTTCATAATGTTAGCAGTATCTCAGCAATGGTTTTAATAACTGCAGAGTCTTATGGCATCCCATGGGAAAGTTAGGTCACATAAAAAGGGCCAACTTAAATTTTTCCTATTAGAAGTTACAGCAGTCCCATAATATCATTCAAATGGTGTGTAAATAAACTGGCCTACACAGCTTTGAAATAGAGGTCAAAAAATAATTGCTGAAAACATTACAAAAGCAAACCTACACAGAAGCCAAGGAGAGACTAGCTTGAGACTTAGTAAGTGCTGAACAACAAAGATGTTGCTGAATATCAAGGAAGTAAGAGACAGTAAGATCTTTTTGCATGTTTATTTTTTTGTTTTGTTTTGTTTTTGAGACAGAATCTCACTCTGTTGCCAGGCTGGAGTGCAGTGGTGCGATCAAGGCTCACTGCAACCTCTGCCTCCCGGGTTGAAGTGATTCTCCTGCCTCAGCCTACTGAGTAGCTAGGACTACAGGCACACATCACCACGCCCAGCTAATTTTTGTATTTTTAGTAGAAATGGGGTTTCACCATGTTGGCCAGCATGGTCTCAATCTCTTGACCTCATGATCCACCTGCCTCGACCTCCCAAAGTGCTGGGACTACAGGTGTGAGCCACCACGCCCGGCCCACTGTTTTTTTAATTGTGGTGAAACATCCATAATAAAAATGTACTTGCATTTTCTAATTTTTTTTTCTTTTTTTAAGAGATGGTGTCTCGCTATGTTGCTTAGGCTGGAGTGCAGCGGCTGTTCACAGGCACGATCCCACTGCTTATCAGCACGGGAGTTTTGAACTGCCCCATTTCCGACCTGGGACAGTTCACCTCTCCTTAGGCAACCTGGTGGTCCCTCGCTCCCAGGAGGTCACCATATTGATGCCGAACTTAGTGCGGACACCCGATCGGCATAGCGCACTACAGCCCAGAACTCCTGGGCTCAAGCAATCCTCCCACCTCAGCCTCCTGAGAAGCTGGGACTACAGGCACGCGCCACCACACCCAGCTCTAATTTGATTTTTAAACTGTGGCAAAATATAGATAACATGAAGTTTCCCTTTATTAACATTTTTACTTGTGCAGTTTAATGGCATTAAGTATGTTCACATTGTTGTGGAAGGATCATCACTATCCATTTCCAGATAATGTTTTGTCTCAAACTGAAACTCCATACCCATTAAACAATTCCTCATCCTCCCTCCTCTTAGCCCCTGGCAATCACCACCATTCTAGTTTCTGTCTCTTGAAATTTGACTACTCTAGATGTATGACACACGGGGAATCACACAGTACTTCTCCTTTTGTGACTGGCTGATTTCACTTATAGCATAATGTCTTCAAGATTCATCGATGTTGTAGCAAGTGTCAGAATTTCCTTCCTTCTCAAGGCTGAATAATATTCCACTGTTCCGGAAATTGGTTCTGCCAATGAAACAACTTTTTTGAGTGGGCAAGAACTTTGAATCAACTATTTCATAACGCCGGAAGCTGGATGAACACTTGCAGCATCCAGAGGGGTAATCTATGAAGAAAGAGGTTGGCATTCAAGGAAATCTCCATCAGGTCACTGGCTGACCATGGATATAATGGAACAGAGACTTTAGTGATCACACACAGTAAGGACTACCATCTGCTCAACATTAATTTGGAAAAGTCACTGGATGCTTACAGCTCTCAAAAAGCAGTATCAGACATTACTGAGGGAAGTTAATCTGATTTCCAGAGTTACCACATTACAATATTCAAAATGTCAAGTTCTCAAAGATTTCCTCCTTAACCAATCTCTACCCAGGTTCCTCTGAGCCCTCTTCTCCCCTAGGCCTATATCCTGGCCTATGAAAACTTGAACAAAATATCAACACAGATTCTAACAGCTCAAGGCCACATCCCTAGGATGGCCCTAGCTCCCCCTATAGAGCCTGCCTGAGAAAATTCAAGGCTGCCAAAAGCGTTTACTGTTAGTTCCAGCCAACACCTGAAGACACCTTGTGTCCGGGCTTCTGTGGGAAGGTAGGAGCCTGACTTTGATAAGCATCAGCTAACAACCCCAGATGGGTTTCACATGGTCAAATCCCTACTTTCCACTTCTGGTAATTTTTCACTTGTTGTAGAAAATACAAGTGAACAAAACCAATTTCAAAAGAATGGAAAACCTGAACATAAGCTTGAGAAAAACATCCGTAAGAATCTACCCACAAGAAACACCAGGCCCACAGACTTTCACAGGCAGATTTATTCCAATCTTTGGATAATAGGGCAAAAAGCCAGCTTCCCAATGCGTTTATAAGACCACGAGGCTTTCTATTTCCTGAACAATTCAGTGCAATAGCTGCTAAGTGGGACAGAACAAGGTACGTGTCCTGGAGAGGTCAAAGGCACCCAAGTGGGGTTAGAGCTCTCGTACTGTGTGGAGGGTGACTGCACAGACAGGCAGTTATGTGGGACATTGGAGCCCGGGTGGGAAGCTAAGGGCACCCATGTGGGATGGTGTGGCAGCTAGGATAGTGGATTGGTTATTTATAAGAGGAATTAATCAAATAAGTAAATATGGTAAAGATGATAGGTGCTGAGTTCCTCAAATCAGAATAAACATGGTGGTGTTGTATTGCAAATGGCAGTGTGATGTAATCTCATAGTCTTCAGTGCTATAGATAATCGATAGGTAGATACCCTATAACTTCATCACCTAGAAGGCTGGGAGCAATGATATTTCCAATAGGCATGAACAAACCTAGCAACCTTGTTTCTAAATTCCATTCTCCACTAAAAGAAAACAGAACTCTTTAGGGAAAGGATTAATTCCAGGCCTAGGGCAGGGAGGGTTAAAGATTGAACTCCCTGCCAGGTGTGGTGGCTCACACCTGTAATCCCAGCACTTTGGGAGGCTGAGGCGGGCGGATTACAAGGTCAGGAGATCCAGACCATCCAGGCTAACACAGTGAAACCCTGTCTCTACTAAAAATACAAAATATTAGACGGGCATGGTGGTCTAATTTTGAGATTATCTCAAATAAATTAGCATAACTTCAAAAATCATAATATAGGAAAATTAAAGACTAACCTACCTTATATCAAAAGATGCTAAAGATTTTGAGCTATATGTATTTTAAAATTTTATCAATAAGAAATCCTTGTCTCCAAAATGCAAGAACCTTTAGATATCAGAAAATCTGTTATTACACCAAATTATACGACCCAAAAACCAAATTTATAAAGTAAGAAATTTTAATCATATTAGCAGGTGAATAAAGAGCATATGATAAATCCAAAGTCATTCATAGTTTTTCTAAACATCTCTAAGCAAGCTAGGACTAGAAGGGGTAATTAAATAACCCAATAAAAGGTTATTTGTGGGGGAAAAAACTCTTAACAGCAAACATCACACTTTATGGCAAAACTTAAAAATTATTTCTTTTAAAATCAAGAATAAGGAATCAAGAACATCCTTAGAGTCTGCTATAACTGCTTCTTTTCAATAATACATTGCATTTCCAGCCAATACAATAAAGACCAAAATAAAAGGCATTAAGAATTGAAAAATAAGACAGACATTCACGATGCTAAAGAATTATAAGAGCATGATATCTGCAAATGAATAGCAAACAAACCAATTCGGTCCCAGTCATAAATTTATCTATATATGAGACATTGCTATAGAATAGTGAATGTGTCAAAAATCAAT